CTGTCTTGACCTCTTCCTATTTAATCAATAGGTTACCTTCTAGAGTGTTATCTGGTGTTAGTCCTGTACAGGTCCTGACTCGATTCTTTCCGTCTGTGCCCATCTTGTCAAGTCTTCAGAATCGTGTCTTTGGTTGTGTTAAGAAATGTGGTTGGGTCTAACTCAACCCTACAAAACCGGCTGGTAGAGTGAGGATTACCCCCACTTATAAACACATGTTCATGCCATATATTGTCTAATGTGGGACTCTTAACACACCCCCTCACGCTCAGGACTAGACACAGAAGCGTGGAAATAAATGGTGGGTGGCCCGATAGCGGAAACCATAGAAGGTGGCCCACCGGATCTTAAACGAGGCTCTTGATACCATTGGATGACATAAATGTTTGAAATTGTTTCGAGAGATGTTGTTTCAACTAGAGTATTCCCTGCTGATCACTACCAGTTATGACAATGTCATCTACATACACAATAAGATAAATACACCCTTGGGGTGAGTGACGATAAAAAACAGAATGGTCAGCTTCACTACGGATCATACCAAACTGTTGTACTACAATGCTGAATCTGCCAAACCAAGCTCTCAGAGATTGCTTAAGACCATAAAGAGATCTGTGTAGCCTACAAACCATATTCGATGACTCCCCCTGAGCAACAAACCCAGGTGGTTGCTCCATATATACTTCCTCTTCAAGATCGCCATGTAAGAATTCATTTTTGATGTCAAGTTGATGAAGAGACCAGTGTCGAATGGCTGCAATGGCTAGAAGAAGTCTAACAGATGCCATCTTGGCTACAGGCGAAAAGGTATCACCATAATCCAACCCAAAGTCTGTCGTACCTGTCCCTGAAGTCGTACATGTCCCTGAAGTCGTACATGTCCCTGAAGTTGTACCTGTCCCTGAAGTCATACCTGTCCCTGAAGTTGTACCTATCCCTGAGGTCACTACGGACTCTCCTCCGACGCTCTCGCCATCACCGGATTCGATCCTGCAACCTGAGTCTGATCTTCCAGTTGCCCTTCGAAAAGGTATACATAACACACGAAATCCTTCTCCACATTATATTGATTTATGTTATCATCGTCTTCCCCCTTTGCAGTATACTTGTGGTTTAAGATCCGATGAACCACCTTCTATGGTTTCCGCTATCGGGCCACCCACTGTTTATTTCCACGCTTTAGTTGTCTAGTCTTGAGCGTGAGGGGGTGTGTTAAGAGTCCCACATCAGACAATATATGGCATGAACATGTGTTTATAAGTGGGGGTAATCCTCACTCTACCAGCCGATTTTGTAGGGTTGAGTTAGGCCCAACCACATTTCTTAACACTATATATATATATATATATATATATATATATATATATATATATATATATATATATATATATATATATATATATATATATATATATATATATATATATATATATATATATATATATATATATATATATATATATATATATATATATATACACATACAAACAAATATCAACAGGTTGTTCTGCCTTTGTCCATATCCATGGCCCTCATCGGGGTAAGTTAGATCCTCGGGCTATTAAATGTATTTTCATAGGATATGCTTCAGATAAGAAGGGGTAAAAGTGTTATCATCCTCCTAGTCGTCGTGTCTATATACCCATGGATGTTACTTTTTAGGAATCAGAGTCTTTTTATCCCAGTCCTCAGCTTCAGGGGGAGAATAATCAAGAAGCTGAGTCTTCAGAGTTGTCTATTCTTCCTGTTATTCCTCTAATACAGGACCCAGAGTCGTCTCCTGAATTGTTTGTTCTTCTTGTTATTCCTGTAATACAAGAGCCTTTGATGCCTAATAAGGATGGCGGTGATGTACCAATACCGGTGCATAATAATGATGAGGATGGTGGTGATGTATCAATACCGGTGTATAATAATGATGAGGATGGTGGTGATGTACCAATACCGATGCATAATAATGTTGACAGATACAAGTTACAGTTCCAGCGAAAAAGGTGGAAAGGTAAACCCGTTCTTCCCCAACAAGTCCAATCGTCTGAACCTGAGGTAAGTGTTCCTAACCATGAGCCTAGTAATTCTTGTGAGCTGAACCTTGATGACCTACCTATTGCTTTGAGAAAAGAAAAAAGGTCTTGTACTAAATACCCTATATCCCAGTTTGTGTCTACTGAAAAACTTTCTGTGCAGCATCAGAGTTTTATTTCAGCTATTGACTCTATTAGAATCCCTACATCAGTACAAGAAGCATTAAAGGATAAGAACTGGATTCAAGCCATGAATGAAGAGATGCATGCACTAGAGAAAAATGGGACTTGGGAGATTATTGAGAAGACAAATGACAAGAGGCCAGTAGGTTGCAGATGGATATATACGGTAAAATACCGATCCGACGGCACACTGGATAGATATAAGGCGAGGCTAGTTGCAAAGGGATACACCCAGACCTATGGAATTGATTATGAAGAGACATTTGCTTCAGTAGCAAAAATGAAAACTGTAAGAATCATTCTTTCCATGGCAGCTCACTTTGATTGGGAGTTGCAACAGTTTGATGTGAAAAATGCTTTCTTACAAGGAGATTTGGAGGAAGAGGTGTATATGGAGATCCCACCAGGATATGACCCTACTTCAGGAAGTAGTAAGATTTGCAGATTAAAGAAGGCCATATATGGGCTAAAGCAATCACCTCGAGCTTGGTTTGGAAGGCTCACTCATGTTATGGTGTCTTTGGGTTATAAACAAAGCCAAAGTGATCATACTCTCTTTATAAAGCATTCTCAAAATGGTAAACTCACTCTTTTATTAGTCTACGTAGATGATATGATCATAGCAGGTAATGATGAATTTGAGAAGATGAACTTGAGGAAGGAGTTGACAGTTCAGTTTGAAATGAAGGATCTTGGAAAGTTGAAATATTTCCTAGGTATGGAAGTAACATACTCAAAACAAGGCATTTTCATTTCTCAGAGAAAATATGTCCTTGACCTTCTCAAAGAGACTGGCAAGTTGGGTTGTAAATCCAGCAAAATGCCTATAGAGCAAAACCACATGATTGGGAGTGATGAGGAAAGTCCAAATAAAGCTCAATACTAGAGACTTATGGGAAAGCTCATTTATCTATATCACACCAGGCCTGACATAGCTTATCCGGTTAGTGTTGTCAGTCAATTCATGCATGATCCACAGGAGAGGCACTTACAAGCTGTGGATAAAATCCTGCAGTATCTAAAGATGAGTCCAGGAAGAGGTCTATTGTTCAAGAAAAGTGAGCAGTTGTCTATGGAGGTCTATACTAATGCAGATTATGCAGGGTCGATTGTTAACAGGAGATCCACCACTGGATATTGTACGTTCTTAGGTGGAAACTTAGTGACATGGAGGAGCAAGAAACAGAATGTCGTTGCCAAATCAAGTGCAGAGGCAGAGTTTAGAGCCATGGATCAAGGAGTTTGTGAATTGTTGTGGATGAAGATCATTCTAGATGACTTGAAAATAAAATATGAAGCTCTTATGAGACTTTTCTGTGATAGTATTGCTCACAATCCGGCCCAACACGACAGAACAAATCATATAGAGATAGACCGACACTTCATCAAAGAAAAATTGGATAGTGGTCTTATTTCTACACAGTACGTCCCATCAGGACTCCAGTTAGCTGATGTGATCACCAAAGGACTCCCCTTGGAGCGGTTTCGAGATCTTACTTGCAAGCTGGGGATGATAGATATCCATTCCTCAGCTTGAGGGGAAGTGTTGTAATATTAGTATTATTGTTGTAATATTAGTATTATTATTATTAGAATATGTTGAATATCATACAACTCATTATGAGCTGCTATCCTATACAACTTATTATGAATAATTAACATTTATAGGGAGAATAATTATACCCTTATTTAGATAGATGTATAGTCTATAAATACCTTGTATGTATTCTTTACAAAATATATAAAACATTTTCATATTTCTACAAAAGCTTTGCAGTCTTTCTTCTTGCCTTCCTTGAATGCAGTTCTCCGTGCATCAGTTGGATTCGCCACCAGATCCTTATAGCCATTTTGCACAATTTCACTCACTTCTTGTGCTCCAAACAAAGACTTTATCAAAACACTCCAACGATCCCAGTTCTTGCCATCAAGAACCAGAATATTCGATCCAAAACCATTGCTATTCATCTTGCCTATCAAGAACTTATCACTCAGTGTTTCCCTTGGATTGAACCCCTCACTTTTCACTCGTGTTTCCCTTGGATTGAGTCAGATTCTAGATGCCAATTGTTAGAACAAAAGTACTTTGATGAACACACAGTTAATGTGCAACAAGATTGTAATTACAAGATGAAAGTAATAGCGCACACACACACACTTTAATGTTTTGACATCTTGGAAGACATAGGAGAAGAAGAAAGAGAATAGAGATGATTCTCATTGATTGTATTTTTATATTACAAAGTGTTATTTATATGGGTTACACAATATCTTGCTAAGCAAGTCATCCATATACAAAGTAACTAACAACCAATTTGTAACAAAATACTAATTAAGTGGTACACATGACAATTATGAATTAAAACTCAACAAATATAGATGTCTCAAAATCAATTATGGTTGATGATAGAACAAATTAGGTTTTAAAAATAAGAGCTGTGTCATTTGACACAAAATGGAACAACAAAATTAAAAAATAATTTGGATGGTTAATACAGGACAAATACACTGTTCCTGTTAATTATATTTAGCAGGTGATTAATGAATATAATAATAAGTCACAACTTATTTATTAATCATCTACACAACAAGTTAACCTTGTTTTTGAATGTCATTAATCACTATTCTTTTGTGTATATTTAAGCACAAATTGTGGTTGATAGGTATTTTTTTATATTTGAGAACCTGAAAAATCATGTATGTTTGAACATAATTTAACACCAAAATTGTGCTTAATTATGTATAGTGGTTTAATATTGCTTACCAATTATACCCCTTTGATCTTTAATGCAGCAAATTAGTACTTTGGCTAGTAACCAAGTCCCAAGCTATTTTGTGTGGGAAGTCCTCTTTACAATGTCCATCATTGGATTGGGACTCTTGCTTTTTGCGCTTCTCATTGGAAACATACAGAACTTTCTCCAGGCTCTCGGACGGAGGTAGAACTTTTGTTTCTCTTACTTTGTGTACGTTAATGGTTGGCGCCAATGGTTCTCTTTTGTTGTGTGTGTTTGATTCTGTGATGACAAAACTTGATTTTGAATTGAATCACTTTTGACTCTCCCTACTATGAAACCAAACATGCACGTCATTTGTTTCCTTCTAAACTAACTTTTGTGTAAAGTTCCTTTCATTTGAAAATCCTCTTAGTTTTAATCTTACCTGCTATGTGATTCATATTATCATTATTTTGGATGAAGATACTTATGTAAGACTAGGAAAAAGTCATCTCTAAATATTGTATCATGTTATTTCTATCTCTAAACATTGTATCATGTTATTTCTTTGGAGGACATTTTTTGTCCTTGTTGGCCTTTTTAAATTTGTCTAAATATGCAAGTTTTGAATAATAATGGAATAAAATTGCAAGTTTGAGATGCAAGTTCTTACTGGTTTCATCCTTAGGGTTGTAACAAAAATGATATATTTTGTTCTATCTGGCCTACAGGAGACTAGAAAAACAACTTAGAGGCCGTGATGTTGAGCAATGGATGAGCCATCGTCGTTTATCAGAAGAACTCAAAAAGTATGAAATGTTTCAACTCTTTTAATGAATCACATCAATACTGCCAAAATAAATCTCATCGATATGTCGGTCATGCAGGAGAGTACGGGAGGCTGAACGGTATAATTGGGCTGCAACAAGAGGTGTTTCTGAGAAAATGGTTTTGGAGAATTTGCCAGAGGATCTCGTGATAGAAATACGGCGTCATCTCTTCAAATTTGTTAAAAAAGTATGCATTTGAATATTATTTTTTAAAAATTCATGATTACTCTCTTAGTTGGATTTAATTTTTCTGGTTTTGGTGCTTTTATACTCCAAAATCTCACCTAATTTGTTGCTTTAGATAAAATTTTCAGTTGCATATGCATCTACTTGTAACTTGTTGAAACTCAATAGAAAATGAATGAGAAAACAAATTTCAACACAACATTATGCATATTCATCTTCAAATTAAAACAATGACGCATCAAAAGCCCATCATATTAAACAAGTTGAAGTGCTCTTTCTACAGGTTCGAATATTTTCACATCTAGATGAGGAAGAGCCTATCTTAGATGCCATTCGTGAGAGACTAATACAGACGCCATACATCAAAGAAAGCAAAATTTTGAGACGTGGTGGTCTTGTACAGAAGATGGTGTTTATTGTGCGTGGAAAATTGGAGAGCGTTGGAGAAGATGGAATTCCGGTTTCGTTATCTGAAGGGGATGCTTGTGGTGAAGAACTTCTAAGATGTTATCTTGAACAATCTTCCGAAAGCAAAGGTATTACTATACCTGGTGGAAAATGCAAAACATGTTTCATCAATGTGGTTTATTAGAAAATATATAAATTAGATAAAGAGCAAAGTGTAATAGTTTTCATTTTATCTATCATTCTAAGAATTATTGCTCTCTATCAAGCTCTCGAGCTTCTTTTACCTATGAGATGAATCTTCATCTCTTTGATCTCACGGTCTATAACATGGTTTCTCTGTAGAAGGAAAAAAAGTAAAGCTTCAAGGAAGGGGCTTGACTAGTGACAGAACAGTAAAATGCTTAACCAATGTGGAGGCCTTTTCTCTTCACGCTAAAGACATTGAAGAAGTCACAACTCTTTTTGCAAGATTCTTGCGGAGCCCCCGTGTTCAAGGAGTCATAAGGTCATTTATTCATTCATTTCACTTCATCATATCTTCATGCTTTTAATGATTCAACTGCACGATCTTTCATGAGTCATGACGAATATCCATTATCAAAACCATGACTCTCTCTCACATATCGATTTGATGATTGTGTTATGTTAGGTACGAATCACGTTATTGGAGATCACTTGCAGCAAACACAATTCAGCTGGCATGGAGATACAGAAAGAAGCGTCTAAGTAGCTCTCATACCAGACAAAATGATTATCAAACATTGAACTCATAGGCTATCTTGGACACTATGTATGTAATCTCTAGTCATTGGAATCAAATAGTTGTATGCTGATAGTGAGTTACGAAATTGGTGCCATATTTGAACTTATTGTATATATGTAAGTAAACCCTTAAACTGATCATGATAAATATAGCCATGGACATTTTGATTTAAGGAATGTTTTTTTTTTTTGAATTATAAGAATTCAAAACATCTATTTTATCAATCTTATATAGGGCGTTCAAAATAATGGAGCTATTTTAGTGTAGCTTTTTTCAGAATCATTAAGGAAACACGAATCATTTCGATAACGAAGTTCTGATTCTATCAATGGCACATGCACAACGGTCTGATGAACCTGAGGTTTCTTCGTTTCGAAGAAACGTAGTGAGGACACTAAGTGCCTCGATGTCTATTCCTATGACTTCTTTGGATCATCCATATGAGAGACGACTGAATCTTGTCGGACATACTGGTCCGCTTCGTACAGTGAGAAAACTCCGTATGCCCAAATGAGTGGTCCACTAGATGCTACTTCTGCAACTGGAAATCCTTTCCAGAATAGTTTAGTAGTGGCACGAAACACAGTAGGTGAGAACAGGACAGATGAAAACCATTGGAATAATGACTACGACAGAAAAATGAACACTTGTTGAGGTCTGGGCAACTCGGGAAATTCTTATTGCATTACTTGCCCAACTTACATCATAGTCTCTAAGCAGAGTATTAGAGCTTGGCCTAACAAAACCTTACAAAATCAGTTGGTAAGGTGAGGGGCGTCATTCTATATAAATTATTTCAATGCTCTATCTCCAACCAATGTGAAACTTTAGAATCTTCCTAATACAAAGAAAACAAAGCGCATCTGCAATGTTTGATCCAAGGTATATTTTTTCCTAAAGTATTAATAGATTATTAATCTTTGTAACTTCTTGTACAAACTTATTGTATCATTATACTTGAACTTCTCGTAACATTATTAATATCCTTCTATACAAATGATTGGCTGTTAATTTCACATACCCAATCATACTTTTGTTCATGTTTTGAATGATTACAGTTCCACAATTCTCTTTATGGTCATGCCAGAGGTTTTGGACGAAAACTTCTTTCTTTCTACTCTTAATGTATTCCTGGAGTTATGAACCCTCACATTAAAGTTATACACCAATGGAACAAGTTCTTGGCCATATTTTGCTTGGTCGTAGCTTTTGCTGATCCACTAAAGGTAAGTGCATTTGAGCTTCATGAAGTTTAACCATCTCCTAAGGGTGATCATGCTGTCAAATGGATTTCTTTCTGCATGTACAGTTCTCCGAGTTTCCTCTTCTACATGAGGCTGGAGGTAATATTATGGTGATTATTTTTGCTATCAATCATTTCCTATTTGTTACTTTGCCAGAATTTCAGTCACTTATAGATCCCCGATATATTGTATCATACATAAGATGTTTCACAACAACGGGGTTACAATTGAATAGGTCAAAAGAAAGAAAAACTATAAAAGAAATTTTGGTTTTACACTTGTGTTTGTCAAGTAATGAATAGAAATTTGTGTCAAGATATTTCCAAGAAGTCACACGGAAGAAGGATGAGGTGTTTCAGTGTTATTCTTGAGTGAGTGGTCCACACAGATATAGAAAATTGAAAGGAAAGCCACATGAAATCGCATCTTCATTCTGATGCTGCCTTCAAGTCAACCTTTCTATAAAATAAACAATGAAAAATATGACAGTAAGTACAAAAAGACAATTGACAGATAAAGAAATACACTCCAAAGTACTCTCCCTATCATTTCTTATGGCTATGCAATCAAATTACCCTTCCTCCTTCTCTTATGACTTCAACTATGACGTGTTCATCAGTTTCAGAGGCCCCGACACTCGCTTCGGTTTTACCAGTAATTTCTATAAAGCTTTTTCTGACAATGGAATACAAATCCTCATTGATGACCAGGAGCTTCGGAGAGGTGATGAAATCACACCTTCACTCTTCAAGAATATTGGAGACTCGAGGATTGCCATTATTGTCTTCTCTAAGAACTATGCCTCTTTTCATTTTGTTTGGACGAACTTGTACACATAATTTACACCGCCAAGGAAAAGGGTACTAATGTGGTTCTACCAGTTTTCTTTGGCACAGAAAATTCTCATGTGCGACATCTGAATAACAGTTATGATGAAGCACTAACAAAGCATGAAGAGAGGTTCCAAAATAACAGAAAATATGGAGCGGTCTCGGAAATAATACATATCATGTGAGTTAAATAGAGAAGAAGCTCTTAAATTGTTTAGATGGAAGGTTGGTAAAAGTAAAATGATTGATTAAAATAACATCAAAAAACAAAACATTCCTACACCAAAGCACCAAAACAACCCTGCACCAGAATTTTACCAAAAACAATTAAAAACAAACACTGCTGAAGCAGTACACCAAGACCACCAAACAAAACACTCCTGCACCTGATGGCTAAAAGAGAAAACAAAGAAATTGCTAAACAAACAAGATCAGAAAAATAAACCAACCTCCCCAAAACAATAATAAAAAACTTCTGACATTAAAATCGAATAACTGGTCCAAGACGAAGTAGAGAAGCCTCTAAACTGAATTACGACATCACTACGCACCCCGATACTTCATGTTCATTATGGTCATTGCATAAAAAGCCACATCGGCATGTTAGTTGATAAATCTATCATAAAAATTAGTCTGTGCCAATGGAGTTTTACATGGAAAAAGTGATATTACATAACTTGATAAAGGATATGGGTAGAGAAATTGACCGATAAAAATCAACCAAAAAAATCTGAGAAACGAATTTTAAAATAAAATACATTGAGTAAAAAGATATTTTTAAAGATAATTATATATATATATATATATATATATATATATATATATATATATATATATATATATATATATATATATATATATATATATATATATATATATATATATATATATATATATATATATATATATATATATATATATATATATATATATATATATATATATATATATATATATATATGGATGAAAAATATTGTCTAGATCTTTTAAGTTATTTTAAAATAACAAGTTAATTCTTTAAGTGTTTTTTGTAACGATATGATCCTTAATGTTAAGTAACATTTGCATCGTTTACCATTTTCAGAATCTTCGTTCTAAAAACATCGGTGTCATAAGCGGATATGATATGCCATTTAACAACGATGATGTGTCATTGAAGTTTGCTGATTTGGCATTTGTCTCATTCTTTCTTATATTTCTAGATATCAAAACTCTAAATCCCCAAATCACATACTTTGAACCCTAAATCTCAATACTCCATCGATGGCCTCATATGATAGCATGAGACCAAATCGAAGATGTCAGAACTCTAATACATTTATTTCGAGTGCATCCCAAACTGAAATCGAACAAACATGTCTGTGTGGAGCCAAGACAGTGTTAAGAACAGTTAAGAAGAAAAGAAGAAACTTGAGGAAGCTATTATGGGGATGCAAATACTTTGTGGTACGTCAATTATTCAACCTTTTTGGTTTTGATTTTGGTTTATGCAAATATAATTAGTTTTTGTTTATGGTTGTGGTTGTGGTTTTGCCATATTTAATCTTTGGGGTTGTGTTAATGTTAACAGAGTGAAGTTGATAATGTGGGTTGCAAGTTTTTTGAGTGGTATGAAAACTATTATAGTGATGAAGTCAAACAAGAGATACAACCCTCATTACTTTCTAAATGTTCCAAATGTGGTGAAAAAGATGTTGAAATCAACTTGCTTAAAAGTTTGATTGATAAGGATTAGAAATACACCAAGGAGATCATGGAAAACATGTTGAATATGCTATGCCATGTCATTATGTTGTTAGTTTTGATTTTTGTAGTGTTATGTGTATTTTGGTTTAAAAGTGGATATCATTGTTAATTTTCATTGTAAGTCATGAGTTGTGGTACTTTCATGTAACATTTCTTGACAATGTTTTGTTAAACAATTATGTGTTGCAATTATTGACAATGGTTAATGAAACAATTATGTGTTGTAATTCTTCAATTGTGCATATGTTGTGTTCAACAATTCTATACCACTACTGTTACAGTTATGTTATAATTTGTACAACAGTCAAAACTGGAAGGACCTGATTGTTACATTTTAAAAACATATAGGGCGTGAGTCACATAGAACATGCACATAGTCACATAGCCTAGAACCAAGTTCTATCATTTTCTCAAACTAACTCTAACAACATTTTTGCTAACAAGAACAATGGAATGAATAGAGAAACTCAAACCTGAATTGTGTTGAGAGGAGAGAATGAAAATTGCAATTAAGTTTGGAATTGCTTCATTTGCACGGGTACTATGGAGAAACTTGTGTGTGGTGTGTTTTATGAAAAGTAGAGAGACAAGAGGGAAAAATGACGACAAAAAGGGTAATGGGAAAAGTTTACCCCACAAAATCTGAAAGGTGGGTATTAGGCCTCCACATCTCTGGCCCAGCCAAAATTTCACTTAAGTGATGTGGCAGAAAAATTGTAATATTCTCTGTCTCGCTCAGTTCGCTTTGCGTACTTCCCAGCGAACATTTTCCCCAGGTTCGCCTAGCGAACACAAGGCGAATGTGATAGACTTTTGATTTTTTTTTCTTTTCAATTCATCTTACCACAACACTTTCTAAACTAAATTACACTATCAAAACAGTAAAATTGAAAGAGTACTTATAATATTGGGGTGCCTCCCAACTAGCGCTTTGTTTAATGTCGTTTGAGCTCAACGGTTCGGAGGTTTGAAACCTCGAAACTAAAAGCTCATGGATTAGCTTCCGAGAAAAAAAATCCAACAACAAAGACTTCAACCGTTATCATGACCTGTTCTTTGTCCACTTTTCCTTAAGAAAGAAAAGTTCCAACATGACTTCATTAAAGCCTCATTAACCTCTTCATCCTTCTTTTTAAATACTTCTTCATTGTCAGCTCTTTCTTCCTCTTTTTTCTTTGGTGTACCCTTTGCGTCATCATTTTTACCTTGAAAATTTTCCTACAATTGGTTCAAATACACCAACCCTTTGAAAAGTGTGAAACACACTTCCTCATCATTTGTCCTCACCTTCATGATACCTTCATCAACATCGATTAACATCCTAGTGATCTTCATGAAGGGTCTTGCTAGGATTATAGGTGTGTCCTCATCCTCTTCCATGTCTATAACTACGAAATCAATTAGAAACAAAAGTTTGTCAATTTTCAATAACATGTCTTCAACTCCTTGAGGACAAGTTTTCGACTTGTCTGCAAGTTGGAAAGTCATGTTAGTTGACTTTATTTCAATGTTTTTCAAGTCTTCTGACAATGGATAAAGGAATCAAATTTATACTAGCTTCCATATAAACCAAAACTTTGTATTTGAACTCACTACCTATAGTTATAGGTAGAGCTACTCTTCCCAGATCTCCTTCTTTCTTCGGGAGAATGCTTTAAAAAATAGCACTACAATTAGCATTGAGTTCAATGGTGCTTTTTCCTTGCACCTCTTTTTATTCATAAGTATGTCCGTCATGAATTTGGCATACATAGGCAATTGCTCGAGAGCCTCCGAAAAAGGAATGGTTACTTGTAACCGGCTGAATATATCCAAGAGTTATGGTTTTAAATTGTTGTTGCTATTACGATGCAATCTTTTATATTCTAAAAAATGTGGCTGATGTGGTTAACATTGTAGGGACTTCAAATTTCACAATATTATGACTGCAATTGCGGTAAAGGTAAGTGCATTTGAGCTTCATGAAGCTTAACCATCTCCTAAGGGTGATCATGCTGTTAAATGGATTTCTTTCTACATGTACAGTTCTGAGTTTCCACTTCTGCATGAGGTTGGAGGTAATATTTATGGTAATTATTTTTTCTATCAATCATTTCCTATTTATTACTTCGTCAGAATTTCAGTCACTTATAGATCTCCGGTTTATTGTTTATCTTTATTAGCAGAAGCAATTCATATTGACTTGTGTGTTATACATTTTCTTCAGGTGCCATAAAGTGGTCTTCGCTCTGCGAAGAAGGTGTTCGATAGGTGAACTTGACAGATTCTGGAAGTATTATATATGTACTTTTCACATTTTTTTGGAATCATAGAGTGATATGCATTTCTTCACATAAAAACCATATTTTCTGCATTTCTTCACCAAAGAGTGATATTTCAAAAATAGAAGTTAGATTCACATATAAGATCGATTCTTCGATGTGGATACTCATTCATCTTCTCTCGTTACTTGTAAGAAAAGAACTATGCCAAAAAAGACCTTTAGCAGCGCTTTTTTTTTTGCCTTTAGTAGCGCTTAAAAGCGCTGCGTAAAGTGGCGTTGCTGTAGGTAAAGACAATGCTTTTTTAAAGGAAAAAGCGCTACTAAAGGTCCCCTTTAGGCAAAGCTTATTTATAAAAGCGCTCTCTAATGTCACCTTTAGGTTTTTCATATAAAGCGCTCTCTTCCCCCTCTTTAGTAGCGCTTTTGAAAAGCGTTGTCTAATGTATTGTTTCTTCAGACTTTTAGCAGCACTTTTTTAACAAAAAACACTCTATTTCTCCCCCCTATAGTAGCGCTTTTGAAAGCGTTTCTTATGTATTGGTTTTAGCAGCGCTCTCTTCCCCCCCCCCCCCCCCCCCCCCCCCCATATAACCAATAATTCAACACAACTTTATTTCAACACATAGTCCTTATATATATATACCATTATAAGTCAACACATAAACCTGCTTAATTCAACACAAAACTCATAACCATTATAATTCAACACATAAACATGTTTAATTCAACAGAAACCTTATAACTATTATAATTTAACACAAACCTCCATAATTCTAATAAAACATATCCATTTCCGAAACCTTTAACTTCTAAATATTCATTATACATAATTACAAGTTTCATCAACTCATAACAACTTCTAGAAGTATATATACAACAACTTGCAAAACTATACAACAACTTCTAGAATTATTCTTATTTAGTAGTACAAAACATCACAACAACTAAAATCTCTAAAGACCATAAACTTCACACAAAATAAAGAAATAAAATATATACC